AATAAATAAAAATAAAAATAAATAAAAAATAAAGAAAAACTAGGTCAAGGCTCTAAGCAGCTGCTTTGACAGCCTGAGTTTGAGTTGTGTGATACAGATATAATTTTATCATATGGCCAGACAAACAAGGTTAAACTTTATCAGCTGCGCTTATCGTGAAACTCCAGATAACAGTACTATATGTATTATATATAAAATAGATTGCTTGTCAATGTCCGTTTTCAAGTGGCTAACAAAGTAATGAAACTCTCTAAAAGACCATGAAAATGCGCTTAAATTGACGAAACTAAACTGAGGACTGACGCACAGCTGTTGAGGTAGGAGCTCCGATACCCTCGAAGGCTAATCAATTGTAGTTCTGACTTCGGTTTGGAATTTTCCGCTTGAAGATAATTATGAATGTCAATCAAACGAGCTGCAAATGCGTGTTGCCTCATCAAGAGCCTTCAGACCCCGCCGAACGCAGAACGCAGTGCCCCAATTTTCGTTGCCGGCATTTGAGAGCGAGAAAGAAACAGAGTGGGACAGAATGAGAGCGAAACAGAGAGAGAGAGAGAGAGAGAGTTTGTGCGAGAGTGTTTGACGTTGCAAGGGATTATTATAGCAAACGAAACTTCGCTCTCTCAGTAAGGACGAGCATAAAAGCGAGCGACAGGCCAGACGATGCGCATTCACTGGAGCTAGCTTCGAGTCGACGGTTCGCGCAGCAGAAACGGAAACGGAAGTGAGAAAAGCAAAATAAGTCGAAGAGAAATCAGCAGCGGCAGCAGCAGCCAAACCAGACGCAACTCAATAAAGAAAAGTGCATAGTGAAAACGAAAGCCAAAGAACAGTTTGTGCACTTAAAGACCAGTTAAAGCCAACGAGCCAACGAACCTTGAGCCTTGAGCGTTGAGTGTTGAGCCTTGAGCGACCGCAAACGAGCTACTGTGAATACCTATTCACAGTTGAGTGGGCGCTGAGGCGTGACACAGATTCCGATTGAGAAGGGAGCCGTAGAGTCACAGAGCCACATCGAAGACTGCACCAAGCAGCTGCAGCGGCTTTTATCGATTATTTCGAGAGACAGCGAACGGACTGAGCAGCCGTTGAGCAAACGCAAACGGACGCAGTTCGTCCGATTCTAGGGAAAGCGGCCCAGCACAAAACCACTACAACGGAGCCATTCAGCGAGCGCAATTTGGTGCTAGGCGCTGTCCGAGACGCCGCCAACAGTAAAACACGAACATTGACGCTGAAAAAGACGACGCCACATCGATAGAGGCTGCACTGAGAGCACAACTGGGAACAGGGAACGAGAACGAGAACGGGAACGGGAGCCAGCAAGCCAGCCAGCCAAATGGCTTACCTAATTAACATACTCAAGTTCAATGTGAAGTACTTAAAAAATCAATAATTTGAGCACAGTCTGACAATTGTCATCCATCACACTATATACACATAGACAAATACACATACATATATATAAACCCTTATATATATTAAAGTAAGCGCTCGTTTGGGGCATTCACACACACATACACACACACGCAGACACTCACACGTACGAGTTCCAGGACTTCCTCGTTTCCTCCACCTCCCGCTGCCGTGAACGTCTACTTTCTATAGCCGTCTCGCTCGCGACTTGTTGTTGCTTTGCTGCAGCGATTGCTGTCCATTGCCAACGCTCGACCCGTACAATGGAAAAGTCTGGGAAATTTTCAGATTACCTCTTCGCCAAAATGGGTCCCCCGAATATGACGGCAGCCGTGCACGGCACTGAGCTGCCACCGAAGACCACGGAACGCTGCGATGCGCCCCTGGAGCTAACTGGCTATCGCAAATGGCTGAGCGATAATCTGATGCTCCTTGTCACGCTCTCCGGCGTCATGCTGGGCGTCATTTTGGGTAAGTCTAACGAAATGCATAACATGGCAGAGGAGGGGTAAGCCCCATGCATTTTTTTTTGATACACTGTACGAAAATTAATGAATATTTGATTTTTTTGGTTACGGGTTAAGTATTACTATTTTTTTTATTTTTTTATTAAATTTACATTCTACTGAACAAAATCCCAGTAATGTATTCCAAAAAAAAATAAATATAATTATTTAGATAAACAAATATTGTAGTAAACGAATAGAAACCTAACCTAAACCTAAGATTTTAATAATAATTAAAATTTAATAAACAATACTTATTTAGACAATCGAGTAGTAAGTAAATATAATTCCTTGCACTGCTTGCTATAAAATTGTTCATAGTATATTCTAAACAACTTTATTCTCATTTATCATTTTTGGTCCAAAGGTCTCTCGTTGCGTCCGTTGCAGCTGCACGAGGACTCCATTATGCTGATCTCGTACCCAGGCGAGCTGTTCATGCGAGTGCTGAAACTGATGATACTGCCATTGGTTATCTCCAGCCTGATTGCCGGATCGGCTAGCCTCAATGCCAAGATGAATGGGAAAATCGCGCTGCGCACTCTCGTCTATTTCGCCACGACTTCGATGTTCAATGCGGCGCTGGGCATTGCGCTCGTAATGCTCATTCATCCAGGCAATCCGGACTTGCACAATGCTGACGATCGGGCATCGGACAAACGGGCTGTTAAGTTACTGGACAGCCTTTTGGATTTGGGCAGGTGAGTGAAGCGAAATCGCGTGTAAACCGCTTGCAAAACGCTCGAAACTACACTGCTTGTAAACATACAGCTGAAAGCAGTTCGTTAGGAGATAACAGTGAAAAAACTTCCTGTAAATTTGGCAATTAAATCTGCTGCGTAAATTATTTACAAATGAAAAGAATATATTAGTTTTGTACAGTCCCATCTTACTTTTATGACATTATATATCTGAATATGAGGCATCTTGGGCTATGCTGAATACTCTGTTAATATTCCAGTCAATGTACACTGCTTAAAGCTATCCACTTATGATACTGTTATATATAACTATTCGGTACACTGCTTACAACCAATTGCCGTCCACTTCATCGATCACAAACTGCTTGCAATAACTGCTACAAAACTCAACTTATACCAACTACCTCTGCTTTCTCTTCAAGTAGCTCAAACTGCTTTAAATACGCTATTTTGATTGCAGAAACGTTTTTCCGGACAACCTATTCCAAGCATCGATACAACAGGCGCACACCGTCTACTTGCCCAAGCCGAGCGTTTTGCATAGCTTGAATGACACAGCCAACGATACAGCCGTAGGCATTGTGCACGGCGTGGAAGCACAACGTCAAATCCCGGAGATGGAACCGGTGGTGCTGGTGAGGGATGTGCAATATCGCAGCGGCACCAATACGTTGGGCATTGTGTTCTTTTGCCTGGTCTTTGGCACCGTCTTGGGCACCATCGGGCAGAAGGGTCAGGTGGTGGTCGACTTCTTTGCGGCCGTATTTGAGGTGATCATGAAGATGGTGACGTGCGTGATGTGGCTAACGCCGGTGGGCATCAGTTCAGTCATCGCTGGCAAAATACTAAGTGTCGATAATCTGAGCCTGGTGATGGCCCAGCTGGTGTGGTTCATCATAACGGTGGCCATCGGTGTGGTCATCTATCAGCTAATTGTGATGCAGTTCATCTACTTTGTGTTCGTGCGACGTAATCCCTTCAAGTTCTACAAGGGCCTCATTGAGGCCATGCTAACCGCCTTTGCTACAGCATCAACGTAAGCCATTAAAATCTATACTCTCTGCTCTCTTTCTGTCTCTCTCTCTCTCTCAATTTCCTTGCTGAGAGATATAAAACCCTTGTCTCTATCTCTCTCTCTGTGTGGTTGCGAACGTTTAACATGTTACAAGTATTTTTCCTTCTTTTTGGTTTCCAAACGATTTGATTTTCCATTCGTTGAATTTTTCTTTCGAAAAAAAAACTTTTTTGTTTTGCAAATCACAAAACTCACCAAAAACAACAACAACAACATCAACACATATTGAAACAACAACCACATCCCAATCGAATACGCATTTGAAATCGTTTCGAATCTCATGTGAAAACTGATCTGGCAACGCCTGCAGCGCCGCCGCTCTGCCGCTGACATTCCGCTGCATGAACGAGAAGCTGCGCATTGATCCGCGCATCACACGCTTCGTCCTGCCCATTGGCTGCAACATCAACATGGATGGCACCGCCCTCTTCATAGCTGTCGCCTCCATCTTCATCGCCCAGATGAGCGGCATGGTGCTTGGCTTTGGTGAACTCTTGACCGTGCTGCTGACCTCCACGGCGGCCTCCATGAGCTCGGCAAGCGTGCCGAGCGCAGCGCTGGTCCTGCTACTAGTCGTCCTGACCGCCATCGATGCACCAGTACAGGATGTGACATTGCTCTTCGCCGTGGATTGGTTTGTGTAAGTAGAGCTCTATAGTGGTATAACCCTTAAGTATAGATATTGTGGAAACCATTATTACTCGAATCGAAGTGGGCTAGAAAGTGAAAGTGTCCTGGCCTCCTTTTAGTTATATTCTGGGTTCAGGCGATCTCCAAAACGTTCACTTCGACTTGGCATAGCTCTCTGATTAGTCAATCTCTATATACCCTATTGGTGCAAGGACTTATAGATTCCTGTTTTGCAGTGATCGCATACGCACAACCAATAACATGCTAGGGGATTGCTATGCCGCCGCCGTCGTCGAGGAGCTGTCGCGCAAGGAGCTAATGGCATTGGATGCTGCTGCTGTCAATTATCAGGTAAGACATGTGTCCAACTCCCACTGGCATATATCTAAATCGATTTTCCTATTGATGAAGGATATGCCCGCTGGTACACCCAATGGGCATCATGTGGGTCTGCTGGAGGGCCAAACCGAGCTGGAATCACCCGGAAAATGTCAATTGAATGACTCCGTAGTCGTGGACATGAGCGCCGTAATGAATAATGTGAATCTTCAGCAGGAGCAGAGCAATCGTCGGGTCTAAGCGATTAAACTGGACTTCAAGCAGAAGCACCAATAAGCACGTAGATTACCACCAATAGACCACAGTGTTCCCCCAATAACAACAACAACAACAACAACAAAAACACCTTTTGATAAACTCTTTTTTGATTTTTTGATGAAGAAGCTTTTCAAAACAAGAAAACAATAATAATTCAACATTTATAGAAATGTCAATCCAACTGTTTGTGAGACTGTCCAAATAGAATTTTGTCTATGAGTTAAACCCACCCTGAAAAAGAATGACGAAGATAGTGAAAACTATATCAGATAGACAAGCATACACATATAGCTGTGTTTCCATAAAAGATCTGAACAAAATATCAATAGCAATTACTTAGGCAGATGCAAATATACACGCGAAGTTCGAATCGGATGGGATCGAAATTAAATACATATACACATAACAAATATAATAATAGATTATGAATATAGTAGAGGCCACCTGCAAGATTCATATAACACATATATAGGCAGTTATATGAGTCAATTAATAGGCGTATACGTATATATAATTTCGATATGATATGCAATGAAAGTAGTAGCAACAAAATCTTATATTATAAATATATACACTCAACTAATTTAAAGAGAAGGAAATGGGAATGAATTTTTGTGATGTGTTTTAAACTATATGCATAATCTGTATGGGTATTATTTTATAAGCGTCGTGGTTAGGGTCGGCCAGGCGACCTATTTTTGTGATTGTGGCATTGATGGCAAGAAGGGAACTTTTTAAAAAACAATTATGATTTACAATATGTTATACAATATATACTATATTTATATTGAGAAAGATTTCGTTTTTCTTATGTAATTCAAATCGTAAGTGCAAATGCGCAGGTTGTAAATGAAGTTGGCTTAGTTTTCGCTTTGGTTGACTGCGAAATCCACCTCAGTTCAATTGATTTTGTTTTAGACCACACTCACCTATATATAACAATTTATATACATATGATTGTATATCCCTTATGCATACGTAGACTGATAGTAGAATTAGTGTGATTATATTGAAACATACATACATACAAATACTTACTTATAAAACATACCGAAAAACCATATCCAACATTCGATTTGTACGCATACGCTGAATACAATAAAATAATAAACAGTTATCATGTTAATCTATAAAAATTGATTTATTTACGGATCGGTTAGCTAGTAATTCACTTACGACAGTGTTTAGCCTATAGAACGTGTTACTATCCGGGTTTGGCTTCGTTCTGTGCCTATCTGATTGCCAACCTGCAATAGTTTGGAAAGCATTTTTGAAACGAATTATAATCTAAGCTAATCTTAACTAATGCCATATACAATATCTACATTATTATGCATACTTATATACTATATCACTATGAATATGTATTCACATTTAGCTCATTGGCCGATTATAATATTATCATTATATTAACAACATATCAATCGATAGTTTAGTAAGCATCTGCCTAGTCCTTTTCATATATGTATTTATTCCCATACTATATATCTTATATACATGTGCCAACAATTGAATCTATGACTATATTTTATATCAATATAAATATACCTTTACTTAATTCACTCCTAATTCATATCATCTTACACTCATTGATAGTCTCATGATTTATCGATATATTTAAATGTAAGTCTTATGTCAGCTCGTAGAAACTTAATATATTTATGTTCTATATATCTCTAAATACAACTATTTTTAACTATTGTAAGTCCACGTATATGTCGTATCATTTTACATTCTCTGGCAATCTCGTGACTTATCAATACGTATTAATAATATATTCCATGAAAAATGACTGCATAATACTCATTCTGATATTTTGATTACTTGCTCTATCCCATTTTAAAATTGCATCTATATCTATTTTTAATCCACTTAGATGTCATATCTTCTTACAATCGCTAGCAATCTGTTTATTTATCGATACATTTACATAGCACAGCAGTCGATATACATGTAAGCCCTATAGAACACATTTCGACATTTTGATTAGTTGCTGCGCTGAAGCGGATATTTGCCTATCAACATGGCCATAAATCGTGCGATCGATCGTTGGCTCGATCGATCCGATGGCTGGTTGAATGAATGTGTATGAATCATCTACATGTTTATTCATTCTAATAATTCAACGCCTGCACGGCACGTTGCTGCGAGTGGTTTTTGCCCAGGCCAACCAAATCGGGCCTTATATAATTATATAGACACAAGTCGTATCTAATATAAACACTTATATGCAAACAACTGGAGCAGATTTTCAATTTCAAGTCGCAGCCAGACCTAAGATAAGGCCACTTGACTGACTATCAGCTGTGCAACTCCGCAGCCATGTCAGGTGTCAATCCACAGCACCACAGACTACATAGATTCGCATATATATATATGTTCAAATATGTGTGCGCATACATATATAGTGAAGCTGAATGCACTTGAGGCCAACTGCGAACTGCGAGCGCAGGTGAATGAATCAAGCACTGAATAAACAAATGAGCTGMAAAACACATGGTGGTTATATTTTTTATACCCTGAACCCATTGAAAATGGGAAATCAGGGTATAATGGTTTTGTTGAAATGTATGTAACAGGCAGAAGGAGGCGTGGCAGACCCCACAAAGTATATATATTCTTGATCAGGGCGACGAGCTGAGTCGATTTAGCCCTGTCCGTCTGTCTGTCTGTCCGTCTGTCCGTCTGTCCGTCTGTCCGTCNGTATTCATATTCATATTCATATTCATTTTCATATTCATATTCATATTCATATTCATATACATATTCATATTCATATTCATATTCATATTCATATTCATATTCATATTCATATTCATATTCATATTCATATTCATTTTCATATTCATATTCATATTCATATTCATATTCATATTCATATTCATATTCATATTCATATTCATATTCATATTCATATTCATATTCATATTCATATTCATATTCATATTCATATTCATATTCATATTCATATTCATATTCATATTCATATTCATAATTGTGTTTAGTCTCATCTTCTTTTTCACACTACAGTATTCAATATTCGACTTTTGCAAACAACTGAATTCAACTGGAAGATCGCGTCGTCTCTCTGTGTGTGGTGTTGCCGAGTGCTGCGTGTTGTGGCGCGGTTGTGCTTGGTGGTGCTCTTTGTGGTGCTGTATCGTATCAAAATTGTGCGCAATTGCAAGCCCAACTGTCGGCTCTTGCCAGTCCAACTGTCTCGCTGTATAACTGTCCCACCTGTCCCACTGTCTCACCTGTCCAGCTGTCCCACTGGCTGACTGGCTGACTGCTCTTGTCGCGTTGGCTGTTGCTTGTTCGCTGGCGTTGGAGTGTTTGGCGTCTGAAGGTCTACTTGGCAGCAGCTTTGGAGTGTGTTGGCGTTTTCTTCGTCGTCGCCGCCGCCGTAGTTGCTGCTGTGGCTGCTAAAATGAAATACGAGTGCAAACAAAAGCCACAACTGCTACAAGAATGCATATTGAATCAAACTAGCCGAAGCTCGGATGCCCTATACAAAATTAGGGTAAATTAGGCAAGGTTAAATTGGCTAAGTGGGAGAATGAGTGTAGAAATGGCCGAGATATAGAGAAAGATGTCGAAATATATTGAAAGACAGACAGAGCGAGAGAGAGAGACATTTATGTATAGAGAAAGTTATAGAGAAGGGAGGTGGAGGAAGAAATTGTTGTATTGAACTATAACTTCATAAAGCTGTTCGGAGATAATGACAGGATGTCAAAAGATGTGGAGAGAAAGAAAGAGCGAGAGAGAGGGAGAAAGATGGTCGGATGTTAGACTTGACTCTAGAGAAATCCTTGCACCTAGCTGCAAATTATGCCAAAGCTGATGTAGTCGGCCAGTAGAGTATCTACCATAACAGCTCTAGATCGAGATCAGTCAGATTGCGGCGCAGTTTAAAGAATAATGGGCCAGCACACACACACATACATATACATATATGTGAATACTCATTTGAGCACTCAAACRAATACCCATATGAATATATATGCATGCATGCATGTGCTTGTTAAGCTGTGTTTGTGTTGACACTTGGCGAATATGTTAAGCAAAGCATCTAAAGGCAAATAAAAATCGTGAAATAAATGTGCAACAAGTTGACGCATTTGCATAGCTGCAGCTAATTAATTCAATTAGGGGAGTAGCCGCCGTCGGGTGTTCTTGAATCGAATCTCACTTTCGTGGCAAATGCTGATGCTTAAGCTAATACCTAAAGCTGCTGCTCAAGCCCCAGCCGGATGATTGAGTGCTTGCGGAAGCTGTTCGCGTGTTGACAATTGACAGGTAGCTTATCGCATAACAGACGGACAGAAGATAGATAGCATCTAAAAAATATACCATATATGGGTGTTAAGAAAACAAGTTGTTTGCTAAAAAGCTATCGATAAAGGCTTGGCGTTAAAATAAATCGGCAGTGACAATATAATCCTTAGTGTATTAACGATAAAGTTTTGCTAGATTTTGCATGAACATGTATATTGGAATTTAAAAATGAAAAGTTTTATATGGATGTATAAACATTTAGAAAAGCATACTATTCATCTATCCATAGTTTAGATTTACTTGAATCCACTTACAATCGATATGCATAGAATCGTTTCGCTATACTCAATTTGTATGTGCTGTAGCTCCGTAATATTTCAGAACTTAATTGCCGTATAGCTATGGTAAATTGCTAGGAGAAATGATATCTGATGATCGATAGACATTTAAACTGTTATCGGTTGTTCAAAGTTCCTATAAATTTAATAAAAATGCATAGACAAATTCATATTTTACTCAGTTGATGCTATTGCTATCGAAATTGTCATCGATAACTTGTCAACTCAGAACAATCAATTAAATAAATGAAGATTTAGCAAGAAAATCAACAAGCTCAGTTGTAAAAAATCCATTAACATGTGTCTAAAATGCATAGATTGGCTAGATAAAACACCATTTTAATTGAGCGTCAATTATCGATAGCCTGTAATTAATGGCATGTTGTGACGATTTATTCAAAAGTTGTATTAAATATCTTGGCACTGACTTAGGGAGAGAGAAAGAGAGACTGAATAAATGCCGATTTCTCCTCAACCTTAGCTTGATCTCTACACGCCCTGGATGGCATAGCCGAACTCTTTGATACAGTTGTAGCTGCATGTAGATAGATTGATAGATAGATGGATAAATGAAGCAGTAGATAGATTGCTGTTCTAATCATACTAGGCGCTTAACTTGTACTGGCCTGTTGGCTCTTGCCCCGCGGCTGTTGGCCGCTCTGTGCTGCAGTACCTGGCTGAGCAGAGAGCAGTGTAGGACAACATGGACATGACAGTTTATGGGCAATCTGTGTGCGCGCACAGAGCGTGGCGTAGCTGTGGCTCCTCTATAAATTTGCAATCAACTTTTATCAGGCTGGCCCCAGAACGTGCCAGCGCTAACGTTTCTATTCACACGCCTCGACTTGGGAACGCGAACGGGAACGGGAACGCGATTACTTCACGGTCAAAAACCTGGAAGATCGGCTGCCACTGCCGCTGCTG